ACAGGAGTGAGAGTTATACATTGGCTATAGGAGACGCTCAGAAATAAGATCATCATTTTCTCTGTGTTACTCTGCTGAGCGCATCATTTAACTGGTGTCCTGAGAGACTGACCTCCTACCCCCATTTTGATTAAACTGAGTGCATGAGATGTTTAGCGTGGCCTCGTTTTGCTTCATTCAGCGCTTCACTTCAATATCTGCATCTCCTCTCTGCAGTTTGATGTATACCCAAATGGTTTTCACATCCCTTGCAGACGTGAACGTGTCTTGCAATAAGCCATTAATCATCTACACGCCGTTGTGCTGGTTAAAACGAAGCAGACACATTACTGTTGATCCATTTAAGTGGAACTGATCTGCATGCTTGTCCCCAGAGGAGAAACCAGCTCATCCTCTTATAATTTGAGCTGCTTTACACTGAGCCTAAAATCTGCTTTTACACCTGGACCTGCTATGGTTTTGTTTCTTCTGTTTTATAGTTTATGTTTCACAGAAGCACAACTGTTGTCTTTATGCAGTGAGTTGATGTCCATATGGGGAACTCTTGCTGATGTTAAGTGACTAGTGTACATGTTGACACATAAATAGCTTGTGTAAATGCAAAATATCTCAAAAACTCAGCCTGTTTTTTTTCTTTCTTTTTTTTAGTAACTTCTACAGGAGACAATAACTGACTCTCTGACTTAGTTTGCTGTAACTTCAGAAAACTTTGAATATGGGATCTTTGTAATTCATACCAGTTCAGAATTTGCTGGATATTCAGCAAAAGTCTGACTATTAGAAGTCCTACATTGTAAATTACAGGTTGCTATGTTTCTCTTTGCATTTGGTTCCTGATATAGTCAAGCTTCAGAGGTTGAGTGAAGGCTTTTGACTAAGACTTCATTAAGACAGAAAAACAGCTTTTTTTTCAAATCAGGTGTCTGGCTGTTGTTACAACCAAATAACAAAGGTTAACAGAGTTCTCAGTAGCCTTTTAAGTGAGATAAATAAACCTTATGATGTGCTTTAGGTTTAATGGTGTAACTGCATCAAGATTGCAATGGAAACATTAAAGTTAGAGCTGCATATTGATTTTTGGAGCTCTGGTCAAACCGGGCACTTTGAGTTGTTATCTTTGTTGCTGGAACAAACCCACTGGCTATCCTGAACCTTTCTCTGTTCTTGTTTTCAGTTGCAGAGGTTATGTTTCTGTTTGACAAGTGTCATTGATCATAATTTATTTTAAAAAGTTGCTACATTTGCTTCTATACCTGAGGACAATTTTTTTTTTTTAATTTTAGTTGTTTTGACCCAAACATTTCCCTAATAATTTTGTTTTAACATATATCCTATATGTTCATAGCTGAAGAGATGGTAAATAATGTCACAGAAAACACAAACTACAGTTTGACTTGAGGAATAGTTTGACTATTTAGCACAGCACTGTTTTAGCCATAGTCTGGTTCACATTGTTTTAAATTTTTTTGATTTTAGAAGTGTAGTTGTTACTGTATATTTACTTTGAGATCCCTTAGACTGTTGATATTTAAAAAAACAACAACAAACAAATCAAGATACATCTGTCTGAATGTCACCAAAGCCTTAAATAAAAGCTTTTTGTACTATTGTGATGGACAACCATGTTGTAAAAAGGATTTTTGGCTTTTCTACATGAGTTTGACATAGATTCACAGAAATTACCATCAAATAACACTGAGAATTATTCTCAGATTTTAAAAAAGAAGAAGAAACATATCTAGTAATATATAGAAACATATTAAAGGTTGGACTGGCATTTCTGTTTATCTCTCTCCTTTCAGGCTTAGACAGTAAATATTTCAAGAGAATTAAGTCAGCTTTGCTTTAGCATTCAGTTCTTCACAATAAGCATGAAAGAAATACCCTGGAACAAGCAAAAAGCACATGATTATATAGTTTAAGCTCGTCCAGTGGCTCACAGAGCTTAACAAATGGACCAGTGGATTCCTGACGGACCAGCTTCTGCTGCCTCTCCTTGTTACCACGGTGACAATTTATGTCCTCAGTGACTGATGGATGCAGCGACTGAAACCTTGTCCTCTCTTCTGCGTATATTTCAAAGAGAAGGAAGCCAGGAGACCCAGAGGATGTAAAGATATGTGGCTATATGTGCTTCAGCAGAAGGAACGCCACTGCTCCTGACAAACTGAAGGAGGCTAGGTGTGGAAAAACGCTGCTAAAGTCGGGGCGTAATGCATATTAACATGGAGAAAGAGACAAACGGAAGCAAATCCGGAGCACAGAAGTGTGTTTGGGTGAGGTTATATGCACGTGAGACTCTCCCCTCCCCAAAAACGCAGCCCCTTCTGCAGCAGGAGCATTGCTATGGCAACGGTGGCCAGGCAATGACGCTGGGCATCAGTCTTACAAACGAGAGGCTGAACACGCCCAGCTGCACCGTCGGATGAGGAAAATGTGCAGAGGATGACGCAGGAGAAAGAGATGGCGGTCGCTAAGTGGAACCAGAAGAGGAGGAACTCCCTCTTCCTCTACTTCCTCATTTCTCACACAACGGTTATTGTGTCAGGAATATGATTATCAACGAGAATCTAAACGAGTAACAGAGCAAAAGATCTTATTCTAGGACCATGGACTCATGGATGTACTCAGAATGGACTAAAAACTAAACATTCAAAGTGAACTTGTGAACTCGCAAGTAATATTGTATTTATCTTTAATGTATGATGTCAAATCACAAGAAATTTCTAGGAAACTAAAATAAGATAATGGGCTGAAAGGGTTGTATGATGGAGGCCCCATTTGGTTAAATTCAGCAATAAAAAACAAACCTAAATGTTCTTATCTGGGTATTCAGTGACTTATTAGCTCATAAACAGTCTACACTTTCACAAGGTCAGCACTTATCATTATGAGTGCTACAATGTTAAATTAAGGCTGCTGGTTGGATCAATCCACCTCATTAGCCTGATCAGCTGATCAATAACCTGCTAAGTTAATTTCCAAACAACTCAGTATAACACACAGTTGCTCAGATTTCCATGCTTTGAATCTAGGTCTAATTAATTATTGAAAATAAATATAATCCTGATTACTTTGGCCAATATTGAAATGACTACTGTTCTATAGTGACAATTTATTGAACTTGAAAAACACTGAATTGTCTTCAAACATGCATTTTCCCCGACATCTTCTTGTTGACTTTTTGATACAAGATAAATGAACACTAATAAGAGATATCATGCAGCAGTTTAAATCCAATAACGCTTAATGAAGTAAACAAATGATAAATAAGAAAGACAATGAATATTTTCAGCAACAAATAATCATACACTGATTTTGTTCTCAATTTACTGTAGCTTCTTAAAGGTCCTATACTAAACTGCACATAGCTTACACCCTGGTTTTAGATTTGGGTTAATCAGATTGATTGAGTTGATTTAATCTTTCCTCCCCTTTGCTATTTTGCACTATAGTAGTTTTGGGTAATAGGAGCCATCTCATGTGATGAATCTGCCATTTTGGACTGACAAAACAAATCTGCACCAAGTGCACAAGTACAACCTTTTAAAGGAAGAAAGGCGTACAGCCAGAAGACATTATAAGATAAGCCCATGCAAGTAGCATAATTATGTTTTAACCTAAATTAATTAATTTGACACTTGGGATAAATGCACAACCCTAATGAGAATAGTCTCATTAGGGACTATTTTCATTGGAGATGTGATGTTGTCACAAATTTCTTATAATGGAGCTGCACACTTTGATGCAATAAATAAACCAGAAACAGTACTTCACTTCGTACTTGATATTTTTGTTCATCAATGACATTAGTTTTTGTCATAGACTGGATAGAAGAGATGCAGCTGATTTAGTGAAATGATATAATCAGCAGTTTCAACCAGTGTAATATTTGTGTAGTTCAGCCAACAAAATGGCAACAAACCTAACATATCTTGTGAAGTTGTATGTGTTTCATATAAATCTATATATCTCTTCATCCCATTGGCATGAATCCTTTCAGTTTGAGTTTAAAATTTCTAACAATTTTTTACATTAGCTAAAACAGAAGATCTGTCTGACCAGCTGTTCATTTTCATGTTTCTGCACAGAAGATTACTATTACAGATAACTTCACAGATCCTCCTATAACAAAACTGCTAACTGTCCCTTTATTTGGGAAATTCTTTATTTAGAATTTTAAACAGGCAAAGGAATTGTAATACTTTTATAAATGACTCATAAGTCACATTTTGTTTAGGATTGAAAACAAATCTGTGATAGATTTGCTGTTTACCACATGATCCTGTGAGGAGAGACTCCCCAGATATTTTGCTGCAGTGAAAAAGGAGGATTTAAAAGCCCCGCCCTCTTGGATGGCACCCTGTGACTCCTGCTGACATTAGAATGGTACCCTACTTTCTCATGTCCCTCTGTGTTTGACTGCAGTGTCAAAGCGTTTCCTTCAGTGTAACTTCTCAAAGCACACATCGAGCAGCACCGCATTGCAGCGTTTGCTCTCTCGGCCCTCATGTCTTTCTCATATTAGTTGCAGTCTGTGGATATGGGCTGGATTTGCATGCCCAGAGGGGCTTGTTTGGCCCTTTTCTGCACAGGCAGCTTCGGGTGGGGTGTATGGATCGGCCTTATTGATCGGTCTCCATCCTGTGTGACGGAGACCGGGCTTTTTCTGTTTAGAATTTGTGTGGAGGTCAGACAAGTTATGCATGAGGGAACTTTTCATGAGGGGCAATAATTTGGCTGGTTTGTTGCTGAAAGCATATGATATCAGTTTAAAGGATAAGAACGGTGAAACAAACTGTGGACCTTTTGTAGGAGTATGATCATTTAATATAATAAAGCTGACATTACCCCACCTTTTCTTCAGTGCCTACCTAGTGAAAGAATAGTATTCTCAAACTTAGTATTAGATCAAACTTTTTTAATTTGATATTTGCTTAAATATACTGAGAGTCTGCATCTATATGACATCATTTCTTTTCCTCTCTCTCTGTCTTCAGGGCAGCTACCCTGTCTGGGATGATTTTATCAGCAAAGCCACCAAACTGCAAACACAACTAAGGTAACTCACACATGCTCAGTCATATTTAATATTTAAATAAGTTTAAATATTAAATATAATATTTAATTATTTCTTTCTTCATGAAGTAAAATGTTTTTATGATGTGAAAAAAATACGTCATGTTTCATCAAGCAGATTTTAATAGACGATGATAAGCTCAGTAAATACAAATTGTAGTTTTCAAAAGATGTTAAGGGAAGAAATTGATCCAAACCTAGCTCAATTTAATATGTCTGTGCCATATAGACGATAACTATTTGTGACATCAGAGACCACTATCATAACTAGTAATTGGTTTATTTGGTCATTGTGGAGAACTTTAATTCAGCCTTTAATTTAAGCCATTTTAAGGTAATGCCACAAAATCCTAATAGGATTTAAATCTCAACTTTGACTAGACAACAGGAAAAATAAATGTTTTAATTGTTTTATTGTTTAGAGGGAGATTTTTTTGTGATTTGGAGAGTCATCCAGCTACTGATGAAACAATAAATAGACCAATATATTTATTGACCAATATATTTACTCTACCTCATCATCATATCATCACAAAGCTTGGTTGTTGGTATGATGATCTCTTTGTTAGTTTTATGCCTGATGCATCAGGATGCACATCTAAGTTTTGCTCTTTTATATTCAGCCATAAACACTGATTAGTTTTCTGTGGTTTATCTGGTGCTTTGGGTTATTTTGAGAGTCTTTGATGCATTATTTGGATAAAATTGATAGATCATCCACAATTGTTTTTCCATTTGTGGATAAAGACTTTTGCTTGAGTCCCAAAGTCTAGGAAATCTAGGTGTATGATGGATGCTGATCATGTTGTTTTCATGTGTTTTTATTATTATTTTTATTATTTATTAAGATTAGGACATAATGTGTTGCTATACGAGTTTGTTAAGCCTATTTCCTATTGTCAGTCAGATTCTATTTAAATAACTTCTTGCAGCCCTGGAAGCAAGTAGCTATTGAAATGTACTCATCCAATGAGAAGAATGTGCATGAGTTTAACATAAATTAACACTATCATTTTTACATTGTTCATTGTACATCTAAATAGTTGAGCACAAATTTTCAGCATTATCTATGACACAAAATGTTTCCACGGCCGATTTAACTTTTCTGACCTGTTGTTCCATTTCTGTGATTTTAAAAAGTAGAAGCAGCAGATTCTGCATCTACTTTTTAGGTAGAAGCAATTTTCTAGTTGCTGCTACCTAGAATACCTGTAAAATACAAACTGTGTGCCAAGAGAGCAGCCCTGTTTATGTTGATGCTCAACAAGAACTCGACAGGAAGTCAGTTTTGCTCATGGGGCCTTTTTGTTGTCAGTTCTCGCCTGGATCAACTGTTTTTGTTTTTACCTTAAACTCTTCATGTCAAGCAAGTCAGTTGGAAACCAGACGGTCAGACCTGAGGCACACAGTGTGAAATGAAGTGGTGAGAAAAAGTTTTAGCCCCAGTCATGATTTCTTATATTTCTGTATGAAAAAATCCAAACTTACATTTTCATGTGTGAAAAATTGATTACCTCCTAATAAATAATAACTGGTTTGGTCACAGTTAGTAGAGGCAATCACTTTAGATTTGGTTTAATAATAATAAACAGCAGTAACATGTTGTACTTTTATGTGATTTTCTAATATAAAAATGTTTGTCTGAAACATTTGTGTGAGAAAAAAAACACTTAAACGGTGCCAGCACTTTCTCACCATTGTATTTTTTTTCTCATAAAAAATGTTCAACAATAATGTATTAGAAATAGTTTTAGATCTATTTATCATAACTGCATGAATCTTGTGACTATTTTTTTTCTGTGAAGTGCTTTGAGATGACATGTTGTGAATTGGATCTACACAAACTGAATTGAATTGATTCAAAATGCTAATTTTTCAGGGTTGCAATGCTCCCCAGATCATGGCGTTCTACAGGTGTTTCTAACCTCAGTTCATGAAAATCCAATCGGTGTGCTTCATTAAGTGTTTAAATGTCAGACTCACTTTGTTTGCCACATTCCAGACACTTTAGTTTGGTGCATTTATCACATGCATGCAGGTTCACGCACTAAACAGAAACCTACTGCTGACGTTCAGCAGTTAATAAATGCACATGCATGCAAAATGCTAAGAACCTGCACTTAAACTCTACTTTGTAATGGGAATGTTAACACACATAGATTTCCTACCAGCCAGTTAACCATGAAGGCCAACCTGCCCTGCAGTGAGGCCAAGTATACACTCACCCACTCACCCACTCACACACAGACAAGCACGACTTGATTAACCTTCTGTAGCTGGAAGAGATGAAGGATCACAACATATGGCCATTATCTGTGTGATTTAGACTAAACTTTGGGACAAAGTTGTCAAAATATTATCCATAACATTTTGGTGTTGATGCAGAGGCAAAAATTAACAGTTTATTTCTAGGTCTCTAAATGCTAAGAATTTTAAAAGGCTACTTAATTTTTATTGTTACTTTCAAAACTACTACCAGTGTCGGGTAACATGCAGCACTTTTTTTTGCATTTAACATCATCACATGTTGAATTTAACATCTAATTTAGTTTTGGCTGGTATGAATCTGCTTTGTGCAACTCTTCAAAAAAGACCAAACTAAACTTTTCTATTCATATTTGTTCAAATAAAATTAAAGAAATATTGTCAAGTTTATTCAGGATCATTCTTCACATAAAATCCACGATGTTTATTGAATTATTGACTGTTTGACTGCCTTTTTAACTCCCCGGTTGGTTTTCCCAGGACAACGGTTGTCGCAGTAGCCGCTTTCCTGGATGCCTTTCAGAAAGTGGCTGATCTGGCAACGAACAGTCGAGGTAAGATTTACAGACACTACTATGGCTTAATTTATTTATTTTTTTTACATAAAAAGCATCCAGATCATAAATCAAGCAACTTTTTTCCACAAACACTGCACTGGTCAGTTTTTGGTTTGGATTCTGTTTGTTGTCTCTGAGTTTTCAATGTGCTGCTTGTGGACGATTTTCTTGACATTCTTTGAACCGTTGGGTGGGAATTAAAGCTGTTCGGATTGATCTGAAGCCTGGTTTGAAGCAGGGATGATTTTAAGCTTTGGTTGTTTTTTCTTTCAGATCTTTGGCTGCAAGTCACACGTTGATATTTCTTTTAATTTTTCATTTAAGATCAAGGTTTGCTTACTGACAAACCTTGCTGTGTTTGCCTCAAATACAGCAAGTTCAAAACATGTTTTATTGCACTTTTTGTGTCGGTAATTCATTATGGTATAAAACGCATATTTGGCTTGTAAAGTTTCATGAAAATACTATTTTGAAAATGTTTATTTTCAAAATAGTTTATGTTGTAATTAATCAGCCGATATTTTTTTAAAATGCAAGCATATTTAAATTCTGTGGATTTGAATTTAAAGGATAAAAGAAAAAGTCCAAAAGCAAAACACTATTTAAAACTTAAATAATGAGAACGTAATATCTTTTAACATTCCATCATGCTTATTTAAAAAAATTAACCAAAATAATGCCTTCCGTAGTATAAGTTATGGAAGTCGGTGGAAATGAGATAATGAATTTGATTTTAATATATTCAGAATGTCTGTAATACTCTGATAGTTGAGTGCAGAAAAGCTCTCATTTATTTTTGGTGTTTATCACCTAAAATAACTAAATAAATAACTTCAGATGTAGAAAGTGTTATAATGTCACCGTAAGTGTAAAATAGACTGTGAAGTCTGTCCTCATAAATTTGTCCCTGAACCTCAAACACACACAGAAAGCAAACAGAGGGACAGAGAGGAAAGAGTTTTTGCTGACTGAAAGTTACAGAAACCCTCAAACGTACACAATATGTGTGTTTGTTTGTTGACAGCCTGCATAGAGCTAATGCACAGTTGGCACACGCACTGTTTTCAGAACATAAACATTAATCTCAAGGGGGAAACTTGCATAAAAAGTTTGTGTTCAAAAAATGGCTAATAAATTAAAGCCATAAAAAGTTAACCAACGCAACAACCTCTCATTTGTAATTAGTGCTTAGATTTTATCACTCCTTATTATGCCTTTTGTAATTAAAATATAGAGAATAACTCACTGCAAGTCAATTTTGACCACAACTTATGCTTCACTTTAACACTGAAACATCTCAGACTTTTTGCTGTAGGTTCCAAAGGTTGAAGATGGTTGGCTATGTGGAAAAAGAAGCATTTCTGCAGCACGGTTTAAATGAAACCTCTCTAATGGCCACAACTATAGTAACTATTACTGCCTCATTATCTGTAGCTGGGTTGGGGTCAGAGAGGGAGGAGTGGAAGAAGAGCAGATCAGCTAATAATAAAAATGCAGACTTTGCAAATAAAAATTCTGGCATGGTCTTATTGAAGATATCTGAGACTTCATATCTGATTCAACCAGTCGGTTTGCTGCTGCTGTCCAGAAGTAGTTTTCACATTCTCTATTGATTTGTCCTTTTCCACTATTGATCACTATTGACAAATGATCAGAAGCTGTTCCCCATCCTATCAGTAGACTATGACAAATCTATAGAGGTCACTTCCTGTATTGGGGAAAGGAAGCTGAAAGCTTTGATGCCCAGCTTGACTTGATGCACACATATCTGTGGTCTTTTTATCTCCTGTTTTTTCCAGGAAACTCCCATTTATCGTGGAATTTATGTCCTTTCCTCCAGGGAAGCTTCTGCTTCAAGGTTGAGACTGTGTGTATTTGTGTGCGGCATGTGTTGCGCTCGATGTAGGTCAACTTCCTGTCGAGGCGACTTGCTGTCACAGTGACAACAGTAGCCCAGGAAACAATCAGTCACTGTCGCGATGAACCTGCGGCTCCGGGTCACAGCTGCTCTGTAATTGACTTTGTGTGTGTGTGTGTGTGTGTATGTGTGTGTGTTGCTCAGTAGTTGTTTCACCTGCAGCAGTATGTCAAATTATTGCCTTCCTTCAGCAACTGTTGGTACAATTTCAAGGCTTTGAAGCCGCATGTCAAATTTCTTCCAGCAGTGATTTTTCCAGCAGCGACCCACCTGAGCTTATGACTGATGATCAGAAACACAATTATGTAGAATATATTAAAATAGGGACGAAATTGTTCACAAAAATCACTTTTCATATCTTTTAGGATTAACGTTATGTAACAAAAAAGAGAGAAAAACATTTTTTTTTGTTGGTTTTTTTTTGGTTTTCTGATTGAAGTGTAAGACAAGATACTAACATAGCATAATACTGTGGTGTGAATATTGACCAAATAATTTTGCATTTTCGTACATATTTTTCTAAAAGTAAAAAAAAATGTTCTGGTTGGATAAATATCTCATGTTGCATCTCATCTTACATTTACACTTGAAGCTTATATACTCTTATTTCATGGTAAAATTAATGGGTGCAGCTTATATTCAACTGAGCTCCATAGTCTGGAAATTAAAGTCTTTTTTTAAGTAGATATTGTTTTTCCGCTTTTGTTACTTGAGTTATCATCTGGTTTTCTGATTTATCAGCTGTAGCTTAAAATCATTACCTTAAGAGTGAAGCATAATACTCCTCTTACTTTCCCTCCTGTGATCCTCTGTACTTTACTTAAAGTATAACCAAATCATCATATTTTCCTTTTTTTGTCAGTGAGGGAAAAGCCTGGTAGTTTTCATTCAGTCGCTGAAGTTTAGTTTAATTGTAACTAAACAACTAAACAAAACTCCAGTAACGGCAGTGTTGCATTTTATTCAGAACATTTAGGAATAGTTTGACAAAACTTATAAGTAGTTATTGAACTTTTTAAAATCTTCTTAAACCAGGGTTATTAACACTTGTATCGAAACGCAGCTGAAAGCAGTTGTGGATGGAAGCACAGTTAGGGTTCGTAACTATTTTCATGAAAATGTATTTGCGTTTACAGAAAGTAAAATATTTCTGTCTGTTTCTTGTCATGGAGAAGATCAGCTTGAATGTTAATGCAAATCCCCACTGAGAGGGAGAGCCAAATTTACCTGTGGTTGCTCTTCAAAATGCTAATGTGTCTTTTCTCTTCCTTCCTTCACTCTTTCTATCTTGGCTCTGACCAGAAATGAAGTGAGACGGCATAAAATGATGAAAACAAAACAAAAAAAATCTTTGAAATTCGTCTCATTATTTTAGATAATCTGTTTCATTTAGAGATGGCTTTACATAAAATAAAATCTTTAAACAAACATTTGTAGCATGCAAAACAAACACACAGGTTTATAAACCGTAAAATTGACAGAACAGATCTCTGATAAGCTTTTATCTTGTTCACTCGTTTACAGTTATCCATCTCTGATGGAGGTGTTGAATTATTGAATTGAAGAGGTTGTTCCTCATCCGTTCAATGTCACCTTGTATAGAGCGATTCACTGTCAGATAATGGAGGAGGGGTAAAAGGTAAAATCAGACAAAATAGTTGTTCCAAAAAGCAAAGATGTTGGAAAAAGGCCTAGAAATGGAATTGGTGATATTCATTCTACTCAAACAGCAGAATGAATGGTTGTTTGTAGGAAAGATGGCAAAGAGAAAAGGAAGATAGAGGTATGCTGATGGGGAAGGGAGGAGGGTGCAGGAGGAGGGGTGAGAGGCTGTTGGCTGTCATGTCCATCCTGCTGCTGGTGCTCATGGCAACAACATGGAAATCACTGCAGAATTGAATCTGAGTAACAGAAACTGAATTTATTTTCATCTATCTGCCGGTGGAGCTGGTTCTGTGGACAGATGTATCTCTTTCATTGATATTGTCATTATTTTAGACATTTCTGTAGAGACAACCTTTTTTATAGAGTTTCTCCAGTGCTGCTGAAAGATCCCACACTTTTTTTCAAATTGAAAATTCATGAATATCTTTTTCTCTTTTTTTTTTTCTTTAGGGGTTAAGATGTGGGCTGTGTCAGGTCCCCTCCTCACTGCCCTTTTGCCAACCACAATGAAAGCAGTTTGAATCTTTCATGTTGTGTTTGATCTTTTTCTACCAAATTTCCATCTCAGAGAAAATATCCTTTGTTCTTTTGTTTATGCAGCAGCTCCACCTTATAAAAGCTGTAGAGTTGCATCACCACCATTCATTGGATTGGATTAATGAACCCTGGTGTGAGTGCTTGCTGCAGGAATGTTAGCATTTCTGTTCTTCTGCCAGTTTCAATCTTTCATGTTGTCACTAAAGCATTGGATACTGCAAATATAAAGAACATATTTGGTCAATCCTACCTAATTTTGTGGAAACAAATAGTCAGCAAGCAACTTGTTCTCTCAGTTTTAAATCTTTTTGGAGGATATCTTAAGCAATAATTCAATTAATAATAATTCGTTAGGCTAGTTTCTTATTCTACCTTTGCTGATGACATCCTTTAACTAAATTAATTATGTTTAACGAATTAGCAAAGAAGGAAAAAAATGGATTCAAAACCATACAGGTTTTGGTTTTGAAGCCAATAAATATTGAGGGAACTACAAAATCATTTCAATTTAAATATCAAATCAGATATCCTAACCTTGACAACGTCAGTGAGCTGAGGCAGATTCCTCACTTGCATTTCAGGCTTCCCACACTTTTTCAGCTGTAAAAACTCATCTGGAACATGAGCCAGATGTAGAACAGCACTTATCAGTTGTATTGCGTTTGGTTAAACATTTCACTGAAGCTGCCACGTGTAACATTAACAGAAAGCTGCTGTAGGTTTCACTTTTGGCTCCTACTGAAGGAAAATAACAGAGTTATTTCACTTCCAACCAAAGCATCATAAGAGTAACTCAGCCATCTGCTAGCTTCTCTGATCTCATTTCAAATCAGCTGCTGTTCCTGCCTGCCCTCTTCTGGCTTCACTCTTTGCACCA